ACTCTCACTGCTTTGTTATAATGATATGAATATGTTTATTTGTTTTATTGATACATTTATTGAAAATATTGAATGTAACTGTAATACTATTCTCCTACGCTGATTCACTATATTTTATCGTAAGTTCGCAAGCTTTATATGATTATTCTCTCTTTTAATGACACTGTCTTTATTCAGTTACTATATTTACTATATCTCTTCATGTATATTTAGTCTTCTAACTTAACTATCTTACTATTGATTGTCTTGCGAAATTATTGATTAATCTATTGATTTATATTATATGCAATCTGTATCGTACTTTATGTCTCGTGTTCGTTATCGCATCACATTGTAGTATATGACATATAATTTTTATCTTTTATATATTTTTACATTTACGTTATGTATTTCTCAGCTCATCCCATAAGTTTCTAACTCTGTCTTTAATAAATTTTTGTTATTTTAATAATTATTTTAATAATTATATATTCCACAACTTAAGTTGAGTGTGAGGGAGCCACCTCCCGGTTAGTTTAGTACACGTAGTGCACACTTTATGCCCCCTGTTACGTTTAGGTTGGCAACATGGTTCGATCATAACCTGATATTACTCGACATACTTTTCTTTTAATTTTATAATACACTTGTAATTCTCAAGCATATATATATATTGATCTAGCCATAATAAGTATATTATAATTAAGTTAAATATAAAGATGTGAATTTTTTGCAGTGTGATGCTGTCCCGTAACCCTCGTATTGTTTCGTCATTGTCTTTTGACGATATAATAATTGAGGTTGTTATACCCCTATGTCTCTTATCACTGACAACTTGTTTAGTCACAAGGTAAATATTCTTATATTATATACTTAACTTACTTGCTATCATTACCAGTGACAGTACCTTTATTACTTTCAAATATAATATGTTTACATACCTATAATTTACTAAATGCTATATATGTGTCGTGATTATATGTTAGGATGTTAGCCCATAAAAGCGGCTCATCCTTATCAATGTTATTTCTCATCTGTGATGGGAATTATATGTGGGTTTAATATTCATAAACATTTACTATTCTCCTTTCTAGAGGTGAATCAGCGTTCTTTATATCCATTGAGCCTTATGTAATTCGGGAACCTACCAAGGATCTTCCATTGGCGTTCTTACCGACTCTAAGATACTATATCTCGGTGCCTGAGCACATGTGTGGGCTGTTTTGGGAGACTTATCACTCAAGCATACGAGTTGTTTATCTCTACTTGGTTGCTGATATTGACATATTGCAATTTGACTTTTATGCGTGGCAACGCAAGCTCGACTTCACTCTTGAAGTACAACTCTAGAATTCGTCTTCCGTATACACTCGTTTAATTAACTATCTGCGCTCGAATCACATTATATTTTTGTCAGTTCTCTATTAGTATTAACAATTAGTCACTATAGTTATAGCTTAACGTTAAGTCTTTAGTATTTTGCAAATAAACAATCCTTTGTATTCAAACATTCTTATGTTTATTCTATTTTAGTTATATTATTATTTTAACTTTAATCAACGTTACATATTTCGATGAACTGATCGTCGCATTGTGTATTATTTTCATTTAACGAATTTTGTTAATTTAATGGATTGACTTCGATAAATACTGCGCGCCACGGAGGATATTCGTGTTAAAATAGCACTAGTCTTAGCTTACTGGATTCAGTTATCTCGGAGGCGATGTAGACATTTTGAACTAGAGTATATTTAATATAAAAACTTGGATGGAGCTGCATCGCGTTACATTTCGCGTTGTCACGCCACTCTGTGATTGAGTGATATTTGTTGTTAAGTACTACGTCTTTATTATCATTTATTAGTCTTGAGAAAAGTCTCTGCTGCGTATGTCATAAAAAATTTTATGAAATCTTTATATCCATTTGTATGTGTTATTTTGAGTTATATTGTTTGCCGATTCTTTTGACTTTTTTCGATTTTTTTTTTTTTTTTGTCACTCTAGTTACTTTGACTCTGTATTATGTTAAAGATCTTTTGCGATTTCTTTTGCGGGAGGGAATGTAGCTGCTCTAACTCCGTAAGATTTGTTCAGGCTAAGTTTGTTTAAGTTTATAAACTTCTATATGATTTTGGCCTGTCGCGACGCCTCTGTTTTGGTAATTGATACACTTTGATATACTTTGAGAAAACTTGCAATTAAGTCTGCTTGATGTCTGCCTCCCTCCTTGAAAGAGGTAACTGTGCCTCTAAAGCTGTAGCATAATTTAGATACGAGCTATTAGTGTCGAGCTCCTGTAATAATCACTACTATTAGCTATATCATTGTAAATATAGATTAAGTTTTTATAGTTAATCTAAGCAGATTACACCTGTTAATTAGAAACAAACTTTAGTTAGGCCTACTACACTCAAACATTTTAGATATATTGTAAGGATTACGTTTAATATTACATATGCTATATTCTCATCTGGAATTTGACATTTAACTTATGCGCTACATGAGCTATTTTTGGAAAAGATGATACTCATAATTGAATTCATTATCGTCTGATGTTATCAAATTTTTCTTTCATTATTGAAATGTTAGAGGCACAGCGTGAATTATTTAATGATTCTGCTTATCTTGCTGTACTGTTCTGAAGAAATTTAATATAACTTTGACGAATATTTTATAATGGGGCGAATAAATATTGGAAATATTATAATCATAGAATAAGATAGGATAAGAAATACGTCTTAATTGCGTTAATTTGTACTGTTAAGCTGTCTTATGCATATACATATGTGCACAGTTTATTTTACTAACTTCAGTTGCTTTAATTTCATTTATTTATAACGAAATTTCTCAATTAGTCGGGATAATTCTGTATTTTAAGATTTATATTACATCATATGATCACTTTGTTCTTGCAAGCGCGGTATTGTCTTCTATTTTACTTGCATATTTGCGTGCTAGTATACTAAACATGGCGCGTCTTGGTGTTGTGGCTGCTCGAATTGATTGCCTTACTGTTTCAGTGAGAGCAGGGTGTGTGTTGCGACGTATGCCTTTTGCAATTTCTCATTTATTCATTAATCTCTTATTGTAATTTTGATGTTCTCTTAAGTCTTTTTAAATGGAATAAACCTTTTTTCTTAAAGTATAGAGATAACTTCTTACACATAGTCATTGTCTACTAACTATCTTAGTTTATTTACATATGTAAAATCTTTGTGTAGAAATGATTTAAGAATATATTATTTAGATTTGTTTTTACTATTTAAGCATTATAAATATTGTTTTATTATTGACTATTATATTCACAACTCGGATTCCTTGCAATATTTTTGGATATGGTCTGTTGGCCACTGCATATAGATTTCTTTTTAACGAATATTGCTGAAATAAATGAGATTAATATTATATTATATAATTGAGACAAGCACATGCACTCCATTGCTGTCGCTTGTAAGAACAAACCTTTTGTCTACGATATTATATCTGTTAGCTTGGAAATAGCAGGGAGAATGTATCTTGTCTTCAAATTTATAAAGTATAATCTAACGAAATTACTATGATATCATATCTTGTAAGAATCATGTCTCTTGGCAGTAGCTTTCTACTCAATTAAGATATATACCAACTCTGCGGTTTTAAATTTGATATCCTTTGATTTATAAATAGATAAGTCGTTTTTGCATACATACTCATGTACAGTTAGGTATTTTTTTTTATTTTTATTTGCATTAATATTATCTGATAGCGTAACTTTAAGTAACCAGATTAATTTACTTGTACTGCAAGATTCATGCTGTATCCTCTTGTGCCTCATTATTAATACTATTATTTTGTCTCTATAAGTGCAGTACTTACTCTCACTTATTGTCTATTTACTTACGTACTTATTTACTTACTATCTTAATTAATTAACATATTATTGTACTGGCTACGTTGTAATTTGTATGAGAACGGGATGCATTATACAATGATT